GAGCCCGTGCCCTGCGCAGGGCGGCGGGGATCTTCCCCATCACGGTCCTTCAGGCACTAAGAGGAGCCAGACAAGCACCTGACCAGTCGAAATGCAACTTCGTCTTCCGCTCCAACGGGGCCTGAACAAGGAACCAGGGGCAGCAGGGAGAGCACCAGCACCTGGGTGGGAGCACACGGACGCGCTGTTTTGTTTTGGTTTATCATCATTTTTTTCCAAGAGGAAAAAATTGCTATGGCAACTTCTGCAGCAGCCGAGCTCCTGGGAGCCAGGCTGGGAGTGCAACTTGCCACTCATCATCTGACAATGTTAATCTGCCGGATTTACATAGTAATTAATGTCAAGAGGCAATCTACAATTTGAGCAATCAGAGTTTCTGTGCATAAAGTCAGACTCCGCAGACAGCGATTCAGAACTGGGTACAAGAGAGGCATTTAACCCCTCCCAGGGTTTCCCCAGGGAGCAGAAGGGCCCGACGCCCGGCCCCCCCGCACCCTGAAACGACGCAGCGCGTGGAAAAGCCTGGAACCTCCCCAGGCACCGGCACCCCCAGCTGAACTCGGGGCTTTCACGGCAGCGCTACCAGCAGCTCCCACACCTGCACGGCCTTCAGCTCCCAAATTCCCGCTCATTCCTCTTTGCCCCTGAACAGAGAAAACCCCTGCTCAGGTCTGGCTTTTGCTGCCTAAGAGATATGGGGCATTCATCCCCCCCCCGCCCCGATATAATCATTAACCCAGCAAATTGCAGGATCCATTTCTAACAAGGCTGCCCTCAGCCCCCGCAGGATTCACCCTGCCTCCCCCAGAAGCACCAGAACCGCCCCCCAGATTTTGAGCTGGGAAGGAGCTGCTCCAGCGCCTGCTGCCCCACCTTGCCCCCCCCGCCCTGCTCCAGCCCTTCCCGTCCCCGCTTCCAGGCTTGCTGGGAAAGCAGCAACCGGAGCCAGGGGAGGCAGTTCAGGAAGGGGCTGTGGGAGACCTGGAACCTGGCCCTGAAGGGGGGAATGGGGGGACCAAGGGGGGACGGGGCAGGTTGCCACCCCCCGACCAGCCCGGTGTCAAGGGGCTGCTCCCGTCCTCCGCTGCAGCCTGGGACAGGGTTTGGAGTCTGCCTCCCAGGAAACACTGCAAATCCCTGCATTAAGCTGCTCCTGCAATCGCCTCTGCAAAGAATAAAGCTTCGCTGAATCCCAGGATCCTTTCTTCCTCCATCCTTTTGGCTGGAGCCAAAAACTTCAGAGGAGAAAAAAAAAAATCTAATTGATTTCTTCCGTATTAACAAGTCAATCACCAGGGTGGGGTTTTTTTAATGACTCATAAGCAAGCTTGACGTGTCTGTTAATTAAATAGCCATCCCAGCTCTAATCCGCTGAAAGTTAATCATTTGGGGAATTAAAAGGTGTCAGCGCTGAATACTTCATTATTTTAAGTGCTTGCCTGCCCTTGCTGGCAGGAGGAGCCGGGGCGCTGCTGGGAGCTGAGCTTGGGGCCAGGAGTGAGCTCTCGGCAGGTCGGAGCCACCAGCAC